GGGGGGCACGGGAGGGGCGCGCGCGGCGCCGGGCTGGGCTCGCAGCGCTCGGGGCTCGGCAGCCCAGAGAGCTGCGCTGAGGCCGCGCCGGGACCGCGGAGAGCGCAAGAGCCTCGTAGGCTGCGGACCTGGAAGGAAGGAGCCGCCGCCGCCTGCTGCCGCCCACCCGGAGAGAGCCCAGCCTGCTCCAGCCATGAGTCTCCCGGCCCCGCGAGCCCAGCCACGGTCCGAGCAGCGTTCCGCCGGTGCCCTGGCCCGTACGGCCGCAGCTACGCGCCTGTAGGTACGGCCTCCCTGTCCCCGGCTCCCAGCTTCCCAGGCCCTCACCCTCGGACCCTTGTGTCCCCAGGGCTGCGCCCATGTGCGCACCGCTGCCCCGGGGGGCGCCGCCGCAGGCGCCGCGGTCCGAGCGTGTTGCCTTTGTGTGCGCGGGTGGCAGGAGGAGGAGGACGCGGGAGGGAGGGGATGCGCCCCCGCTGGGATCGGTTGGCGACCCCCATCCGGGGCCAGGCGGGGAGTGGCGGGAGGGGCCGAGTCGCCTCCGGAGCAGCTGCGTCCCCGCTGCTTGCTAGGACCCTGGCCGGGCGCTGAGACAAACGCCACTGTCTCCCTGAAGGAAAGGGGGAGGGTCTCTGCCTGGGGGGAGGGGCCGCTAAAGTCTTCTCCAGGCCGTGGGGAGGGTGAGGGGGTCACTGGCTGGGGTCCGAAGGGGCCCCATCCAGGCCCCAGGGTCCCGGCCGGCACGCCCTCCTTTGGGCCTAGGAACCCTTTCCCACGGTTCACATTCCCGACCCGCTCACTCTGGAGCGGCCCGGACGGCCCCCGTTACTGGGGCGCATCGCCTCGGGTGTCTGAGAGGCGGGCGCCTTTAAGAAGGGGCGGGTTCGTGCCCTCCATTCAGGCCCTTCGGCCTCGGCCATTGAGGAACCTGCGGGCTTCGCGGGCCAGAACCGCGCCAGCGCAGCGACTGAGGTGGAGCAGAGGCAGGGATGCACCCGGGCCCCCAGCAACCTTAAAAGTGAGATTCTTGGGGGAAGAAGTCAACAGCGACCAGGGCCTCTCCGCAGTTATACAGGGCTGTCCGAGCACCCTAGGAGTACCCATAAAGATGAATAAACCAAAATTTCCGTTGTCACGGAGGAGGTGCCAGGGAGAGCATCAGGGTGGGCTGGCCGACCCGGAGTAAACCGTCCAGCCAGCATTATCCATCGTACAAAGTGGGGGTGGTGCTTCCTGCCTTCTGCCGGGTGACCAGGGGGAAATGTCACAGCAGAAAGCCAGGCTGAGCCCCACATCTAGGAGGGAAAGGGGTCAAAGGGGCAGGTTTCCCTGGGAGGCTACTGGGGGTGATCTGAAGCCCTCATAATGTGGAGCAAACCTCTTCCCTCCTGGCTGTTCTGCCCTATCCAGGAAGCCACTGGCTAGGAATCTGATTTATAACTTTTCTGCTACAGTAACTTTGGGAGGGGTCCCACAGCCATCCTATTAGGATGAGGGACTTGGAGCAGAGTTTCCCACCACCTTCTTCCTTCCCCTCTCCATAGAGGTCTCTCCCCAACCTCTGTGAACCCCACTCCCACTCCCCCTCTCCTTGGAGACCAAGCAGTTGATTGTTTCTTGGTAATGAAAGTGTGTGCCCGTGCTTTTCTGATCTTACTATGAAAAGTCTGTCTAAAATCGCCAGTCCCTTTCTCCCAGAAAAGACTCAGGAACACACACTGAGGGGTCAGCGTCCTTTGGGGTGCTAGAGGTAGGTAGGGTGTTCACCCAGGTAAATTTCAGGCTACCCAGGGCTCTGCTTCTGGTTTTGAGCTGGCCTATGCCAGCCGAAGGGCATCAGTACCATTTCTCACATAATTACCCTGTGGATTCGGACCCATTAGCATCCCCATTTTACAGAGCAGGAGTCAGGTTTAGAGGAGATGAGATGACCAGCCCAAAGTAAGATGGTCCACCAGCCAGGTCTCAGAAAGCTACTTTTCTTTGACAAGAGCCCAGATCTACTCCTGACTTCTTGCATTATCTGTAACCCACATTGCAGGGATGGGGTGAGGGTTCAGGGCTGAGGGCCATCTGGCTGCAATTCCCATGGAGTTCTGGCCACCCAGAACCAAGGGAGCCACCCTCATAGCCTACTCTACTCTCCAAATGGGGCCACAGAACAGTCACAGCTCCTGAACCTGGGGAGGTTTCTCTGCTCCTTACCTGCTGGAGGCTGTTTTTATGACTGCTCTGTCCCAGGGGACAGCAGATATGATCTCGACACAAGGTCACAGCCCACACTATTTGGGCAGAGTGAGGCAGGGCACACTGTGTGGGAGTGTGGCATCATTTTCCTTTTATGGGTGAAACAGGGTTTATGTTCCATTCTGAGAAACTTTAGAGCCTCTGAAGATAGGACCCACCTAGGTGTCCATGGTCTGGTAGAGATGGGCCACAAGCCAGGTGGCATTGTGAAGGGAGAAGAGTGGAGGCAGGACAGGCAAAGGGGCATTCTTGGAGCTCTGTAAGCTGGGTACCTGCCAGCCAATGGGGGACTAGTGGAAATAGATGGGATGCTGAGGAGTTCCAGGAAAGGAGCACAGAACCTTTATTAGCCCCTGCAGCTAAGTAAGCTCCGGGGTGACCAGCACTGAGGGAATGCAGAGGTTTCAGGAGTCACAAGACATGTCATGAAAAAGCTAGAATATAGACTGGCAGGCTGAGTAACAGGAACTAAGAGTGTTGTGTAGGTGTAGGGATCAGGATCAGGCCCAAGGAAAGTCCCTGACACCTAGGGGAGAGGCTTCCAGGCTCAAGTCAGCACTAGAGAGGGGGCTGCTCTGCCCTGCAACCCCAAGATGGCAGGGGAAAGGGGACAGCAGATGCCAACCAAGCACGCGCTCTACCACCCAGACCCATTGGGGAGCTGTCCAGCACGGGGTGCTCCTGAAGGAACATGGGCCGCCTACCTTTTGAGACCCCAGGCCCAGGCTTAGCTTGTCCTCGTCTCCCACTCCTACTCCTCTGACCCCCACGTCCTGAGCATCCCAGCTGTAAGTTCCCTTGCCCCTTGGTGTCTCAGAGTGCTTCCTCTCTTCCTGCAAAGCAAGGATGGGGTTCCCTACTGTGCCCTGAAGGGGTTCTTCCCAGGAACAGGTACCTGATCTGAGTAGTGTAGGCTATGCCTACTCTTGTCCATTCTGTGACCCTGCTCTCACCCTAGGGGCACCAGGTACGTCATCAGAACCTGGAGAATCCAGCAAGTGAGGGGCTGGTCGCCTCTTTCACCAGAACCCCACTTCTCCTTATGTGCAATGGGAGGACCCCCTTCCTGGAAGGAAGATGTGAAGGGAGAAAGGTTTTAAACAGGGACATGGCCCAACCAGAAGAGGTCCTGAAAAGTGAACCTTTTCACACTGGGAGATGTGGATTTGTGGGATGGGGATGGCAGGAAATTGGGTGGCTGGAGAGAGCAGAGGTAGACTGTTTGCCCCAAGCTGTTGCCGGAAGTGGGAGGGGGATGCAAAGTAGATAGTTAGGAAGCAGAAATGGAAGCTTTGTGTGCTGTTTTTGGTGTTTTTGTTTTTGGGGGTTTGTTGTTGTTGTTGTTGTTTTATGTTATCGAAGATCATACCCAGGGCCTTTTGGTCCCTAGCCCTAGCCCACTTTTAGGCTTTCACTAAGTTAGCCAGGCTGGGCTCAGACTTGTAGTTCCCCTGCCTCAGCCTCTAAGAGTGCTGAGATTACAGGCACGTGCCATTGATTTTTAAACAAACTACTTACCTAATCCTCATAACAGCCTCATGGGATTGGTGCTACTCTGACCATCCATATTAACACATGGGGAAACCGAGGCCTCACGAGGCCTAAGGGTCACACAGCTAGGAAGGAGAGGAGCTGAGATTCAGAGGCTGACTCCAAATGTCAGGCTTCTAACCCCCCCTCTGCCCCTGTGCATCAGATGGTGATGCAGGGAGAGGCCCAGGCAGTGGGGCCCTTGTGGGGAACAACAGTCCAATTTGGCCGTGGGACCCCCAGGCCCAGGATCTTCAGGCTCTAGAGTTAGGAGGGCTGGTCTAGATCAGGGGTGTCAAAAATCAGGGGGCCGAGAGGCACAAGGCTGTGACTTCTCCAAGCAGATCTTATGTTAGGAAGTCATTTGCAGGCTGCCACTCATCCATACAGGGGTAAGGCCCCAAGAACTCAGCCCATACCTGCCCTGTCACCAGAGCAGCCCCCAAATGGACCAGCTGGTACAAGGTTCATGTCCACTTTGCTGTCTGTCATAGAGACAGGATGAGCAAGATACTTGGGATGGGAAGAACTGGGAAATCCCACGCGTGACCTTACCCAGCACAGGGCCTGGGGGACACAGGCTCTGGAAAGGTGAAGGGTGTGGCAGCCTGGAGAACAGGTGCCTATGTCCCCTCAGAGCTGGCAGAAGTCACTCCTGGCTGGAGGAATGGTCACTCTCTGTCCTGCACAGGAAGGATGGAAGCAACTGCCACAGAGGCCTGAGGCAGCTAGTGGACAACAGGAAAAAAAAAAAAAAAAAAACCTTGTCACCTGCTGACTGGGTGACATCAGGCGCCCTTTGGGGCCAGCGGCCTTGAAGGTGGTGGAGGACAGCAGAGTGAGGTCTTGCTTCCTCTCCTTGTTGGGGATACCCAGAAGGGTCCTCAGTTTCCCTATGTGGCTAATTCATCAGAGGGGACACTGCAGCCTAGAGCCGAGGTTGGGGGTTTGCGCCTGCTGGGTGGGTGGGGTGCTCGCGCCTGGGAGCTGTAGAAAGGGGAGGATGCACACACTGTAGCAGCCTAGCGCCGGGTACCGGCTGGCCGGTTACCACTGAGGGTCGCAGGCAGTCCCTTCTGTCCCAGGGGCTTCGCTGTCGCTTCTGGTGCGGACAACACCGAGGGGAGGCCGCTGTTGCTGGGGCTCCCGCAACCCAACCCGCCATGGGCAGTGGGCGGGGCCACCTCCTCTGCCCGCCCCAGACCCTGCCGGCCGCCTGCGCCCTGAATCGATTGGTGTTAGCCCATTAACAGGGGCGGCTGCGCAGCCGCCTCATCAATATTTTAATGATGACCAAGCCTTGGGGTCCGGAACTGAGCTCTGCGCCAGCGGGGCCGAAGACCGGCCCCTTTGTTTTCTTTTCCAGTTGTCAGCGCTATTTTTACCGCCGGAAAGCTGCTGCCGCCCCCTCTCCTGTCTAGCAGCTCTGGAGGGTGAGGGTCTCCATCTGGGCCCCTGTGGTGGAATCAGGAGAGGCCAGGCCAGGGCTCGCAAAGGCAAGGCTGGGCTGGCCCAAGCTTCCCTGACCCGCCCCCTCGGAAGCCCCATTCCATTTGCTATTCGAACAAGAAATAGATTTCCTGAGAAAGCCAGACAGCCTAGGTGAGGAAAGGCCAGGCGTAATAGAGGGTCTGCCAACCCTATGATCCCTGGGGCCCAGCATCTTGCAGGGGATGGGGGTCCTTTGTCCCCAACCCTAGTCCCAGAAAGGAAGCTTGTGAAGGTGATGTGCCACCCTGGTCTGTTGCTGCTCCAGTTTTCAATATCCAAGCACTGTGACTGTTTCCTCTTTTCTTTTTAAATTTTGAGACAGGCTCTATCCTGGCTAAGTTGCCCAAGCTGGGCTCCACCTTGCCATCCTCCTGCCTCAGCCTCCCAGAAGGCTGGGTTCCAGGTGTACACCCCTACAATAGCTTCACTGGTGACTTGTACCTCGGGCTCTACAACTCCCACTTCTTCTATGTAACTGGGGCTGGTCCCTGTGAGCACTGAGGGTGGTGAGGGGAGGTCGGTGCAGCCCCTACTTCCAGCAGGCTTGGTCAGTCCCCAATCTACCAACGTCCTCAATGTCCCACCCCAACCGCCACCAGGGCCAGCTGCCTCCCCCTCCGGCCTGCCCAGGGCCTGCTCCCCAGCTCCCACCCTCTCTCTGCCCAGGCTTTTCCCAGCCACAGCAGCAGCAGCAGAGCAGGAGGGACAGGGACAAATGTTCAGGAATGGGCACTGGGGCTCACTTCCTGCCACCCCCAAATGAGGACAGCCACCCACTTTCACCTCTGATAGTCCCAGTGGGTGGGGCAGAAGTGACCCCTTGCTGGGTAAGCACCTGGGCTCTGCACTCCTCAGGAAATGTCACCCCGTGGGTCCCCCCATGGATTGGGTAGGGCCTGTGCCTGGGCTCTCCACGTTCTCAGAAGGCCACAGTGATGGTGGCAGGTGTGCACCACCTATACCTTTGGGGGAAAGAACAATTGCCAGGTGCCAGACCCCGTCTTCCCCCAGGAGTGCCTGTGCCAGCTGGGGACACAACCCTGGAAACCAGCACCTGGGGCACCCTGCAGCTGGTGACTAGCTGGAGGGATACACTGGGGACTGGAGGAGCTCGGTGCAGATGCTTGTGCCAGCCTAAGTAGGGGACACGGGAAGACTCAGAAGGCTTCCTGGAGGAAGTAATCCATAGGTCCACCATGGAAGGGTGGGTTTGTCGGGCAAGGAAGGGAGCAGCAGAGCAGGAGGAAGGCTGCAGCTCTCCAGGGCCTCGACGCCCAGCGCCCCACTTTCATGGACTCTGGCCACACCACCTTACTCCCAGTGCACCGATAATCACTCTGCACCCTGCAGAATGATTGCTCAGGCCACAAGGTAGGGGCTCCGTACTCTTTGCAGGCCCTGCTTCCTGGGAATAGCTGGCAGGGCTCTTGAAAGAGACTTGGTGGTTTGGAAGCTGTGGGGAGCTTACTCCTCAGGTGGCCCAGTCTCCTCCCTAGTCAGTCCTGTGGTCACACCTGTCCCAAGGAGAGAGGGAATTCCCACGTGCCCAGTGGCCCAAGGATCCTGAGGAAATGAAGCAGCTATTTTTATCTGGTGTTTAATTACAGGACTGGGATCCCAGAGGAGGCTGGGGCTGGTGTTCCAGGAGCCACAAGGGAGGGGTAGAGGAGAGACACAGGAAACGGGATACTGGAGGTTAGGTGACTGCACCACCCTCCACATCACGGTTCCCTCTCCCCAACACAGCTGACCCCTCCAACGGGGTCCTCATCACAGGACCGCATCTCCCCACTTACATTCTGCTAGGTTTTACCATAGCCTGTGTGCCCCAAGTATGATGGCATCTTTGGGGGAGGAAGGAGAAAGTCCCCCAAGTGACAGGTAGGACACACACCATGTAGTTTAATCATCCACAGGGCTGAAGGAGGAGCTGCCTGGCAACAGCAGGTCTCTGGGGTGAGGAGACAGCCGGGCCTGGACTGGGCTGGGAATTCCTCAAAGAACACTGTGTGTCACCATGATGGAAGGAGTCCTGGGGACACAGGGCCTTCAACACTGGCACGAAACATCAGTAACTGCTGGGCATGGTGATGCAAGCCTGTAATCCTAGCAGTCTGGAAGACTGAGGCAAGAAGATCATAAGTTTAAGCCCAAGTGCGTAATGTAACAAATTAGAAGTCCTGAGGATGGTGTAGCTTAGTGCAAATGCCCTGAAACCCCCAAAAACACTAACAAAAGGGGGGAGGGCATACTTGACCCTTGTGTTATAACAGCCTCAGTGAGACTCCCACACTCATCTTGTCATTAAAAAGCTATGTTCTCAGGCCCAGTGTGAGAGTTGAGGCAGTGACAGCTGTGACGCACCTGGTGTGCCAAGCAGTCCTTTGTCCATTTTGTTTACTGAGCACCTTCCATGTGTCTGGCACTGGGGACAGCTACACTCAACACAGGCTGGCACAGGTACTGCTGGGTTCCCAGGGAAGGGGCGGAAGAGGACACCAAGCCAGTAGATGTAGGTCAGACGTGACAAGCAGATGGAGGGCTGCCATAGAGGGAGTGGGAGAATTAATTAATCTCAACAGGTCCTTCAGAAGAGCTATGAGACAGAATGATGCTTGAGCAAAAACCCAAAGGGGGTGAGGAAAAGAACCCCATGGTGCAAAGGCCCTGGGGTGGAGTCTGCCTGTCCTGTCCCCAAATAGCAAGGAGGTAGGTGCAACCAGGAAGGATGGCAGGAGGTAATAGCTCAAGAAGTAAATGGGTAATGGTGACCCCAGGTCGTGCAGGATACCAGCAAGACTCTGACATGTACTCAGAGTAACAGGAGCCACTCTGGGATTCTGAGGGGAGAGAATGGATCTGCCTGTGACGTGTTAGCTGGCTCCTGTGTGGAAAGCAGACTTTGGTGCGCTGAGGTCAAGATGAGGCATCCAGGGGGAGTAGCTGTGACATTGCACAGGCAAGAGACTGGCAGGGGTAGGGGCAGAGGGCCGATTGCTCAGGACTTCTCCCTGTCCACCTGGCTCCCCCAACCCTCTTCTTGGCTATCAAACCAAGGACCATTGCACTGAGCAGCCATGTCTTCAGACCTTTTTTTTTTTTTTTTTTTTTTTTTAGACAGGGTCCTGCTAGGTTGCCCAGAGTGAGCTTGCTCTTGCAATCTTTCTGCCTCAGCCTCCCAAAGTGCTGGGATGACAGGCCTAGCCATCACTGGGCTCCCTGGAACTGCTCTCTCAGGCAGGGATCTCCCTGTGGACAGCCCCGCAGGCTGAGGACCCAAAGTCACCAGCTCTCTTCCCACAGCCGCAGGGGGCTGCGATGGGACGGGAGCCATGAATGGTGCCGCCCCCGGCCCCAGTGCCGCTGCCACCCCCACCCCGGTCCCAGACTGGCGGCAGTTCTGCGAGCTGCATGCACAAGTGGCCGCCGTGGACTTCGCGCACAAGTTCTGTCGCTTCCTGAGGGACAACCCAGCCTACGACACTCCCGACGCCGGGGCCTCCTTCTCGCGCCACTTCGCTGCCAACTTCCTGGACGTCTTCAGCGAGGAGGTGCGACGAGTGCTGGTGGCAGGGCCAGCTTCACGGGGCATGTCAGAGCCCGAGGCCATGGAGCCCGAGGTGGCAGCATCCCCAGGCCTCAAGGTAGCCACTTGTGGCCACTCTCGCAGCTCGGAGGATGTGTCTGGCTCGGCCACCAAGGCCCGTGCCCGCAAAGGCTTCTCACTGCGCAACATGAGCCTGTGCGTGGTTGACGGCATGCGTGATATGTGGCACCGCCGTGCCTCCCCGGAGCCTGACACGAGCACTGCCCCTAGAGCAGCAGAGCCTCCGGCTGAGCCACGTGACAAGTGGACAAGGCGCCTGCGGCTGTCACGGACCCTGGCGGCCAAGGTGGAGCTAGTAGACATTCAGCGTGAGGGTGCACTGCGCTTCATGGTGGCTGATGACGCGGCCACAGGGCCTGGAGGCACTGCACAGTGGCAGAAGTGTCGCCTACTCCTGCGCAGAGCTGTCGCTGGGGAGCGATTCCGCCTGGAGTTCTTTGTGCCACCCAAGGTGAGCGTGTCCCCAACCAGGGGTCAGAGGGCGTGTATGGCAGAGCTGAGGGAGCTGGGGACTGGTTCGGGGTCTGAGCTGCCTGGCCTGGTGAGGGAATGGAGTCCTTGGGGTCCAGGAGCCTCGTACATGTCCCGTTCTGGACAAGTCAGCCTTTCCTGCAGGCCAGTTTTTTTGTGAAGTAGAAGAGGGGAGCCAGCTGTGGTGTCAAGAGTCTGTAATCTCAGTACTCTGGGAGGCTGAGGCAGGAGAATCACAAGTTCCAGCCTACCCTAGATGACTTCTTAGCAAGAACTTGTCTCAAATAAATCAAAATAGGGTTGGGGCAACAGAGGAAGGGTGTACACAATGGTAGCCTGGATGCTGTCCTTGGTCATGAGGACCCCACCACCTGCTCTCATTTGCTCCCCTTCACCTGCACCAGGGCAGGCATCTCCTGGAGCTGAGGTCCATGCCACTGAGGTAGGAATAACAGAACCCACCCAGAGAAGGGTCCCTCACAGGTCTGTGTCACCTCTGTGGGACTCTGCCCATGCCCAGCTGTTCCAGGTGGCCCTTTTCCTGCTTAGCTTCCTTTTTTTTTTTTTTTTGGTGGAACCAGGGATTGAACTCATGGCCTTGCACTTGCCAGGGAAGCGCTTATTCCACTGAGCCATCTCCCAGGCCCTTCCAGCTTAGCTTCCTGGGCACTGGCTAGCAGAGCCCCAGGGCAGCTTTGCACCTTCTCCAGGGAAGCAAACCTGCCTTGTTGGACGAGTGGGCCACTGCTCTCCACTCTGCAAGAGCACACCCAGCACGAGCCTGGTGACCTGCATGTACCAGCTCTCCTCCTCCCAGTACCCGAGGAAAGTGGGCACATGGGGGCCACATCACCAAGGAGAACATTGGGTACTCAGACAAGGGTACCCAGGCTGCTCCTGCTGCACAGCAGAGCCAATGGATGCACCAGCCCCAGGTCAGAAAAGGAGGGAGCTTTGGCAGTGTGCAGGTGACCACATCCCCAGGGGCCCCCTGACCCCACACTCCCACCACGCCCTTCTAGACCCAAGTCTCTTGACTGTATTTTGGGAGCTCACTGTGCCCCTCCCTGCCTCTCCTAGAGGTATAAGGGTGTGGGCTCCCCAAAGCAAGGTGCCTATGATCTACATGGGACCTAGAAGAGTAACTTCCTGGGGTAAGCACTCATAAGAGCTTTCTCAAATCCTGGCATCCCCAGACTTCTCAAGGGCTTTTGCCTGCCCAGCCACCATGACGGGGTCCCAAAAAGAAATCATAGACCCATAAAGCCAACTCTGTTCCTGGACAGACAGAGACCAAGGCCCGGAGAGAGGCAGGGCTTACCTAGGGTCACCCAAAGGGCAAGAACAGGGGCCACCTCTGTGACTGAGTGGCAATCACAGCTGCCAGTCTATAAATAACCACATTTGCTGCCCTGGAAGAGGGGACACAGCAGCTGGTGCCCTCTCCATTGGTTCCTCCGGAGCCCACCAACTTCACTGCTGGCAGAAGGCAGGGTTCCCAGGGTGACTCTGTGTCCCTCCGCCACCTCTGAGGAAGGCTCCTACCCTGCTCTGGCTTCAGGCCCTCCTTATCATCATGTATATACTAGAGCACATCTTGGCATACAGCATAATCCACATGGGAGGGTGGGTCACACCACCAGTGTATTAGTCCCTTTTCTGTTGCTATAACGAAGTACCTAATGCTGTATTTTCTATCTTAAGATTTGTTTAGGGCTGGTGAGATGGCTCAGTGGTCTAAAGCACCTACTTGGAACAAGCTCGGCAAAGCACAGGGACCGCGGTTCAATCCCCCAGCACCACATGCCAGCCGGCCCCGCCCCCTGGTGGGCTGAGCTGGCCACACACACACACACACACACACAAAATAAATAAATAAATAAATAAATAAATAAATAAATAAAAGATTTGTTTAGTTCATAGTTTGGGCGGCTAAAAAGCCAAGATCAAAAAGCTCCAAGTGTTCTGTGTCTGGTTAGGTCTTCTGGGCCTGTGACAGCACAGCAGAAAAGGAAGAAGAGATATGTGCAGAAGAGTGACCTCACTTTATAAAAACTCACCCTGAGGGCTGGGGAGATATCTTGGCAATCTAAGTGCCTGCCTGACAAGAGCAAGGACCCAGGTTCAATCTCCAGTACCGCATGCTGTGTCAGCCCCAGAAACATGGGTGTGCCATGCCAGCCACCAAAACCAGGCATGGGAGTACACATCTATAATTCCAGTGCTGGGGAGGTTGAGACAGGAGGATCACTATGAGTCAGAACTGTGTAGCAAGACCCGTACCAAATAAATAAATATAAATAAAAAATAAAAACCCTGAGACCACTGACCCAGTTCCCTGAGGGTCCCATTACCCTCTTCCTAGGCTGCGCCCCCCCCCCAGTACCACCTGACCTCCATGAAACCACACCTCCTAAGAGTCCTGCCGCCTCTGAATACTACTGAACTGGGGACCAGACCTTCCCAAATGGACCCCTGGTTGTCCCGAACCATCATATATAGTGAGGAGGCAGGGATCAGCTCCTATATATGCCAGGGGCCTGACCTCCAGGGGGATGGGGTCCCCCAGAGCAGCCTGCCAATTACCCCTCCACCTGCTACCTGCCCTCAGGCCCGGGCCCCTGGGCCCCTTGGAGCAGTCAGGAGTTTAGGGACACACTTGGGTTTTATGCCTCCTCACCATAGCCCTTTGTGTCCCAGTGAAGTGTCTGGCTTCTTGTCCCTGAATCCCCCACCCCCAGGAACTAACACCCCCACACACCCCAAGGAGTAACAAGACTGGCCTCTGTCACTTGGGGAGCCACCAGGAAACCCATATCTGTAAGTGAAGTTGCAAACCTGAGTAGGACAAGCTCCTGGGGTCCTAAGGCAGGGGAGCTTGGGCTGCGTGTTTAGCAGGCCACTGGGACAAGGACAAGGCCTGTAGTGGGAAGTGAATGCAAAGTTGTGGCAGTGAGAGGAAACCAGGGACTACAGCACCTCCAGCCCACAAGAGCCTCCCTGAAGTGCCCGGGCCAGGCCTGCAGTGTGGACCTCTGCTACACCTGTCCCACACCTTCAGGCCTCAGTCCCACCGGCTGCTGTGCATTCTCCCACCTGGTCAGCCAGGCTCCTAGGTCACTGCCTCAAGCCCTGCCCTGCTCCTGCTGGATAGTAGCCAGGTCTGCCAGGAACTCCCAAAGGCCTGCCCCCCAAATGCGTGGCTCTTCCCTTTCCTCTAAGAAAGTCCCTGTCCTGGAGCCCAGGCCCTGCGGGGAATCCCAGTCCCTGGCCAGCCCCAGGGGACCACAGGGTCATAGCTGGGAGTGTGGGAGCAAAGCAAACAGCGGGCATGGAGTGCCTCCCAGCCGGCTCGCACTGGGGCAGCCTCACAATCTCTTTGGGGACGACGCTAGTTCCTTTTACTCACACCTGGGCCAAGGCCCTGCTCAGCGTAAGTCCCACTCTGAGTCAGGAGCCGCACTCCGGAAAGTCTGGTCTGAAGCAGGAAGCCAGAGTTTGTTTCTTTTTTTAAAGAGCTAGAATAGAAAATATCACACTCCATCACACACAGTAAGGGTAAATATTGGCCAGTGAAATGTTTGTTGCAGATATTTTTACCTACGTGGGTGTGCGCTGGGCTGTAGTGTCAATTGTAGATGTTTCTTACTGTGGGTCTAGGTCAAAAATGGGAAAACCAAGCAGAGTGTAGTGTACACTCTGTCATCCCAGCACTCTGGGAGGCCAAGACTGGAGGATAGAAAGTTTGAGCACAGTCTGGGCAACTTAGTAAGACCTTGTCCCAAAATAAAAAAGAACTAGGGATGTAGCTCAATGCAAAGGTCCAGTACTGCAAAGAAAAAAACAAACTACAGGGCCAGAGGGCTGCGCTGGATAGAGGGCAGGCCAGCTGGAGTTTACCTATCAGGACTCAGCAGTTGAGACTCCCTTGTCAATCCTAGCTTGGTCCCTGATGCTGCATGACCACAGGAGAAGCTGCCTGGTTGGCCTCCCTCAACTTCCCATCTGTGAAATGGGGATTAGAACACCGCTCTTCTAGGCAGGTCCTGGAGCCTAAATTGGGGGCTGCTGTAACCCCCAGAAGATGGGAAGGGGACAGAGGGCTTCAGGAGCCTAGGGGTAACCTTCTTGCCCTCCTTCTCACCCCCAGGCTTCCAGGCCCAAGGTGAGCATCCCCCTGTCGGCCATCATCGAGGTCCGCACCACAATGCCCCTGGAGATGCCAGAGAAGGACAACACATTTGTGCTCAAGGTGAGCCCCACACTGGCCCTGAGGTCACCTGTCTGCCAGAGCTGGCCACCTGCCTCGTAGGTAGTGCAGCTAGAGGTCATCACAGTGGAGGTGGGGCGGGAGATCCTGCAGGGTCTGCAAAGTCCCAGGACCCCACAACAGATGTCTGATATAGCTAGGCTTTGCATCTTGTCTGGGCTGTGGAGCCATGTGCCCTGAGCTTTGGTGGCCATCTAGAGCCCTGTTCCCATTTTCTCCTGTCCCATGAAGCCCATTACAGTTTCATTTCCTCCCTTCCCTCCCCACAGGAGCCAGGGCACACACACCCCTCCCCCATAGTCAGAGCTAGCAGCTAGCTTGGAGTGGTTATGCAAATGGCCCTGTGGCAGGCATTAGGGTGTGGGAGTCCGCCCATCCCACCCAGTCACTGCAGTGGGCTAGGATGGCACTCTGGGGTCTGGGCCCAAGCCCTGAGCATGGGTGGCCTGCAGGGGTAGCTGAGGACGCAGCTCTTGGCCATCAGGGCCAAAGTCCTGTGCCTCCTAGGAGGATCAGCCGGTGTCTGAGGGCACAGTTTCCAGGGAAGTGGCTTCTGCCCACTCAAAACTGCACAACCACCTCCCCCTCACATATGCACACACTGTAGTTTCACTCACCCCTATGCATTTTGGCATGAATTCACTGATTCACTGAATTCACATATGCTACCCCTGGACCCTGAGCAACCCCAGGGAGGGGGCTGAGGACACAGGAGCTGCCCGCATGGCACTCCCATCTGCAGGATGGCCCCAGCGTTGCTGGTTATGCTTGGGAAGCCTGAGGCACAGGGACTAGTTCGCGGGCCCCATGCAGGTCTCGGTTAAAAGGGTTAAAAGTGGGGGCTGAAAGGTCTTGAGGACCCTCCCAGGCCAGCACTGTATTTGGACAGAGACACTGGATAGGCATCTGACAGCATGAGGCCTGGGCACCTGAAGATGGGTTCAGGCTCCAGCCCTGTCACTAGCCGCTATGTGACTCTGGGCAAGTTACTCGGCCTCTCTGAACCTCAGTCTTCTCATTTATTAAACAGGGCCAATAGATCACCTCATCTGAGGCTGGCGGGAAGGGCTTCGCCGTGGCGATGAGAGTTCAGGCACTGTGTGCTGAGCCAGTTGGCTTCCCCTTCTGCCTCGGACTCCATCTCCATGTGCCAGGGTCCTAGCTGGGGATGCTGGCCTGCATACTCCCCCAGCCAGCACGGCCTCCCCTGAGCTTTAGCTCCAGTGCATAAGGGCCTGGGGTCTGTGGAGCCAGGCCTCACCTGCAGTGTGGGCTGTAGGCTGTGCCCCTGGGGCCCACACTGGGTTCCGAGCAGTGCCCAGTGGTGAGCCTCATCCCTGAGCCTTGATGGAGGAGGGAGGATGGGCCATCTGAGCCACTGTGACTCCCTCCTGGGGTCTGGATCCCCTGATGAGGGCGGGGGAGGCTGGAGCATGACCGAGGTCCAGATTCCCCAACACCCCTCCAGGTGGAGGACGGAGCCGAGTACATCCTGGAGACCATCGACTCGCTACAGAAGCACTCGTGGGTGGCTGACATCCAGGGCTGCGTGGACCCTGGGTGAGTGCCTCGTGGCCTGGGTAGGGGTGCTGCTGGTATGTCACAGTCCTGCCCGGGGGGCAGTTCATTCTGGGCTTGGCATGTTCTGTCTGGCTGGTGCCCATCAGGATTGCCCAGCCCCACTTCCACCCCCAGCTGGCCATGGGAAGCCTGTCCTGTAGGGCCAGGGCCTGGGGACCCCTTCCTATCCTCACTCCAGGAAGCCTCAGTGGCGGGGAGGAGGTTGTGGTAGGATGAGACCCCCTAACTTGGCCCCCAGCCCAGGGAAAGCCTGCTCTAAACACACCCACCTAATCAAGGCAAGGTTAAAAAGTGGGCCTTATCCAGGCATGGTAGTGCAAACCCACACTCCCAGCACTCTGGGACGCTGAGGCTGGAGAATGACAAGTTCAAGCACAGGCTGGGCAGCTTAGTGACCTGGAAGGCCCCTAACTTAAAATAAATTTTAAAAAGGTCTAGAGATATAGCTCAAGGCAAAGGTTCTGGGTTCAGTCCCCAGTACACAAATGAAAAAATGAAATCAACTAAAAAAAAAACAAACAATGAGCTTGAGGTGGCCAGAAGACAGAAGTAAGGGAGAGTCCAGCCAAGAGTGTGGGTATGTGCAAGAGCCTGGGCCTGAGAGGACATGGAGGCCTCCAATGAGCTGGTGAGGAGGAGCTGGTGAGGAGGAGCTATTGATGAGAGCCGAGGAAGCCCAGGGCATGGCAGCCATGGTAGATATGAAGCAGAGGGCAGTTCCACTGAGCTGTGTTAGGAAGAGCAGCAGAGAGGCTGTTTCTACCATCCAGGAGAGATCCCAAGGCCCGGAGGGGTGAGTGGGGCTGCAGTCCAGGCTTTGCAGCAGCTCTAGAGCTAATGGAGTGTGCCAGCCCTTGGAGTGGGGCCTGCGCCTCATAATTAACAGCTTTGTTTGAGGAAGCACCTTGAAAGTGCCGAGCTCCTCCCTGGACCAACTCCCCAGAGTGGTCCTGACCCTCCTCTGCCACCCAGCCCATCTGCTCTGCAAACTTGTCCCAGCCCTGCAAGGGTGAACCTGGCTCTGCAGAGTGGTAGAGCTGTCACTTTGAGTCACAGATGGGGAGACAGGAAGGGAGGGGAGGGCCCTGCCCACCACCATGCCCTCCCTTAGTTTCAGGTGGTCCCTTAGGGTTAACAAGTAGCTGTCATGCAGCCTTAGTGGTGGGCTGGTGATGGGCCACAGAGCCAGCTGAGGATAAGGCTGAGGGAGCTCAGGTACACTGGTTATGTGTCAGCCAGCCACTGCCCATCCCAGAAGTAGCCCAGGGCCAGGGTCCAGTCCACAGGAGGACACAGCTGTCCCTTCTCCACCCCACAGTGACAGTGAGGAAGATGCAGAGCTGTCCTGCACCCGGGGAGGCTGTCTGGCCAGCCGTGTGGCCTCCTGCAGCTGTGAGCTCCTGACAGACGGTAGGTAGGGACAGAGTTGGGGGGAACACAGTCCAAGGAAGTGGACACTGGGGTGGACAGGTAGAGGGACATGTTTCTCACATGCCACTTCCCTGACAACAGACCTACCCCGGCCCCCAGAGACAACAGGAACTGTGGGCACAGTGGTGACAGCCCCACACAGCCGTACTCGAGACACCCTCGGAGAGTCCCTGCCACACGTCCCACTAGAGACCTTCCTTCAGACCCTGGAGTCCCCAGGGGCCAGTGGTGACAGCAATAATACAGGTACAAATTGACAGCTGGCTTTTGCTGCCCCTGCTCTCCTGGGTCCCTCCCCCCCACTCTAGCCACAGAGACCCCCAAGTACCCTCCAGAACCTGGCTAGACCCCCAGTAATGGTGGCATTTCACACACACACACACACACACAAATGTACCACACTTTTTTTTTTTTTTTTTTGGCAGTACTGGGATTAAACCCAGGACCTTCCTACTGAGCTACATTCTCAGCTATTCCTATATGTTTGTTTGTTTTTAATTTTTGAGACAAGATCTTGCTACATCATCAAATTGCTCTGGCTGGGGTAAAACATTCCATCCTCCTGCCTCAGCCTCCCTGAGTACTGTGATAATAGGCCTGTGCCCCTGTACCCAGCGTGAATCAGGCTGTTGTTGGCCAGTCTGGCCTAGCCCTCCCATCGGGCCTGGTTTCCATAGAAAATGCTTAGAGAAAGGCATGCAGAGGGTGGGAACTGGGGGTAAAGACAGACTGTTCCTAAGCTTGGCGCTGACTTGTAGGGTGATTCCAGCCTCATCCTTCCCCTTCTATGCATCCTCTACCTGATGAGGTAATCGCTGCGGGTCAACTCCAGGCCTAGTTCTAAAATCAAACTGCATTTTCTAACCAAGAATTCTTTCTAACCAAAAATCTTGCCCCTTTTCTTCCTTACACTGTCACCTTCCCCCAGAAGAGAATGTAGAGCCAGATCCTGAGGTGGAGCCCAAGCTGGAACTGTCCGACTACCCCTGGTTCCATGGGACACTGTCACGTGTCAAGGCGGCGCAGTTGGTGCTGGCAGGCGGGCCTCGGAGCCACGGCCTCTTCGTGATCCGCCAGAGTGAGACCCGACCCGGGGAGTATGTGCTGACCTTCAACTTCCAGGGCAAGGCCAAGGCAAGTGGTGGGCAAGGTGGAGCAGCCAGTCCTGGGGGACAGGCTGAGGTGGCCCTGGTCCTGCAGCTTTGGCTGGACTTCCTACAAGCCAGGCCCGCTCTAGCTATAAGGAAGGTTCTCACTGGGAGCCAGTCCCACCATAGGTCAGGCCCTTCTGAGCGCCGAACTTGGCAGGTCCTTTTCGCCCTAATGAATTGGGGATCTGTGGCACTGGGGCTTCTAAGTGTCCCCAACCACAGCCATGTGGCTACCAGCTGGGGTCAGCTGAGGTCCTCAGAGCTGTACCCCCAAGACAGCCCTTTCACTTCCCTCCCTGGTCACTCTCCATTCTCTTGTGCTCAGACCAGGAACAAGGACAGGCATACACGTGTTTCCAGGGACTCACACAGGCCCTCTAGGGCAGCAAGAGGCTGCACAGGGTCTTAGGGACAGAGCCAGAGGGCTCCTGATCTTCGATGTTCAGAGGAAGAATTGCTGAGATGGAGGCAGGTGGGGAGCGCAACCCAAGCAGGGCCATGGACACAGGTGGGTGCCAAAGGAGGGACCCATGGGCCATGATGACCTACGGGGCCAAGGAAAAGATGACAGAAGAGTCAAAGGACGGTGGGGTTTGACAGCATGTGGCTAGAGTGGGCAGGAACCTCAGCACTCATGCCCCTAATCACCAGGTTTCCAATGAGGAAGCAGACTGAACTATGGCTCCTTCCAGGACACAAGCAGCCCTTGTGGGAGGGGGCACCCCAGAATTCCACTCTAGGTCTGCAGCTAGGGGTCAGCACCTGTCTGCAAGCTGCAGGCCAGCCCCGCAGTGGCTCCCAGGCCTCTCCTTGGCAGTACTGGCCCCACCGCAGAGAAGGTAGCAACTCCCTGGGGACACCTCCTTGGAAGGCAGCCATCCTTAGCAACTCCTCCAACAACTCAGCGCTTAGTGCCATCACAGGCAGCTGGCAGTTTACTTCTTGGCCAGCGCTGCCTCCCCAGAGGGCATGGATCTGACTAATACTCAGGGGCGCAGACAATGCCCAGCTTGCCAAGGGGTGTGGAAGGGTAAGCAGGGCCAGCAGGAGACAACCTCAAAGCTGGCCCCTCCCCACTCACTCACTCAGCTGCTGCTCTCAGCTCCCTACCCTTAACTGAGGGGTCAAGTATAGCAAGGCCCAGTCCTCTGCAGCCACTCCCTCCCGGGAAGGGAGATCACTTCCTCCAGAGGCCGCTTTTTTGATCTTCAGGCAACAAAAGTGTAGGTTTTCAAATCCAAATCATCAGCCCTGCTTCCCCCTGTCCCTGCAGCCCCACTCTGCCCCCCAAGTCCCTGCCCAGACCCTTAGCTATGGCGGAACCTCAGATGCTGTTCCTCTAGCCGGAGTTCCAGCCCTGGCCTGCCATTGATTTTCCCAAGGTTTGCTTCACACTGTTCCTGACCCCACCAAGTGGCAGAGCTTGCTCCTATGCCACCCCAGGGGCTTCTCTGTCCTCTCTGTAGGGTGCTGGGTCTTCTCTATCCTCTTTGTAGGCTGCTAGGCCAGCTCCCCCTCCTTGGCTTTGGCCACATCCACAACCTTGGAAACCTGTCTACTTCCCTTCCTGCCATGCACACCCCGGAGACAGCCACTCTTCCTCTGGTGGGATGCTGCTGGACAAAACAGTGGAGACAAAAGACTGGTGGCCCCACCACTGGAGACCACAAGCCCACAGAGAAACTGGCCCCTCCTAGTCCAGCTGTGCCCACTGCAGCACAGCTGAGGAGCACAAGCAGGCATCCCACCCTGCTGGCTTTGGCACTGCAGGGACTGTGGCCAACCCTCATCTCTTAGGATCACACAGACATGGGTTCTTGTCCCAGCACATTGTTCTGTGACTATGGGACGAGTCACTGTCCCATAGCTCCAGTATGGGTAGGGCAGTAATCCCTACCTCCTGGGTGCCTCCAGGGTGGGGGGTGAAGGATATGGCCTAGGCACGGAGCAGGTGCTGCCACGGTGGGGGCAACGTCTGTGCCCTTCAGTCCCATCCTGGATCTTGTGCCTGTATTCCCCACCCCCAACCCCACCACAGCTGCCACCCTGCCCCGAGATAGGGCTCATAAAAGGCACCTGCCAGGCAGATGGCTGACCAAGGAGCCCACCACTTACTGGCCTGCCTGTGTCCACAGCACCTGCGCCTGTCCCTGAATGGTCATGGCCAGTGCCACGTGCAGCACCTGTGGTTCCAGTCCGTGCTGGACATGCTCCGCCACTTCCACACTCACCCCATCCCCCTCGAGTCAGGGGGCTCTGCCGACATCACCCTAAGAAGCTATGTGCGGGCCCAGGGCCCCCCACCTGGTAAGATGTCCTCAACTGGCCCCTGTGACAGCTCTAGAAAGGAAGCAGCCCAGCAAGGCTTGGGGAGGGGGCGCTAAGCACCAAGTTCTCTGACCAGATCCTCAGGTGCGCCCCTCCCCTAGGGACAGGGACTGAACTGGAGGAGGGGTGTATGTAAGGAAGGGAGCCAGGATGCCAACTGGTCCCAATGATCCCTGGCTGGGGGAGGGGGTCCCTCAGAGTGGCACAGCTGTGAAGCACTGGCGGGGTGTTTAAAGGGTTCAGCCGAGGCTATGGGGCCCTGCGTGCGATCCCAGGAGACGGGCTCATGCAGACACCCCAACTTGGGCCTGGCGCCCTGCGCGGGTCACGCCGTCCCCACCGGTCTCTGCGCCTGGGTGCGACACACCTGGGCTGCGACACGACCTGGGCGGCCCTGGGCCGGCGCTGACGAGGCGCTGCCTCCTCTTGCAGACCCGGGGCCGTCGCCCAGCGCCGCGCCCGCGCCCGCCTCCTGCTGGGTCGAGCCCGCCGGCCAGCCCTATTTCTCCAGCCTGGCCGCAGCCCCCTGCCCGCCCGCCTCGCCCTCGGACGCAGCGGGCGCCTCGTCCTCCTCCGCCTCGTCGTCCTCTGCCGCGTCCGTACCCGCGCCCCCGCGCGCCCCCGAAGGCCCTCTCAGTGCGCGCAGCCGCAGCAACAGCGCCGAGCGCCTGCTGGAGGCCACGGCCGGCTCGGTGGAAGAGACCGCCGAGGCGGCGCCAGGACGCACCCGCGCGGTGGAGAACCAGTACTCCTTCTACTAGCCGGGGAGAGCGGGCCAGGCTGGCGTCACTACAGGCCCCGCCTGCCTGCGGCACGCCCCGCCCACCGGCGGCACGCCCCGCCCACCGGCCCTAGCCGTTGCTGGGGGAAAAGAGAAGCTCTTCAGTGAAGACATAAATGTTATTAAAGAGCCTGTTTTAGGGACTGCACCCGGCTCTCCTGTCGTCCTTTCTGCTCTGCTGGCCTCTGTCGCCCTGAGAAAGCAGCTCTTTCCGTCCACAGAGCCACACACAGGTCCCAGTCTAGCCCACCGGGGCCTGGCAAGCCAGGCCCGGCTCAGTTCTGTTGGAAGGGAGGCAACAGAGTTAAAGAGCAGGGCTCTGGGAGCTTGTCCAGAGCAGGGGGCTTTAGCGGAACCGTGAAAGAGAGGTGGAGACAGCTAGAGACACAGTGAATGATGGGCGAGGACCCAGCTCGCACAGACCCTGCTTGGCAGGGTGAGGACTGGCCCTGGCTGGGAGAGGAAGGTGTGAGTCCTTGCGCAGGTCAGCGCAGGCCCAGCAGCATGGAAGGGTGGCAGGGTGAGGTATCTCCGAGACATTAGCCCCTTGTGGGATTGGGCAACGGGAAAGGCTGGATTTCCCAGCTCTACCTAGAAGGTGAGGGTCCTCCTGCGCACAAGCTAAGTTGCACCCTGCACCCAATACCCGGGCCTCAGGCTGTGCTCTTCCCGGGAAGAGCCTATTCCAGCAGGACCAAAACCTACATCCCCTTTCCCACGCCAAACTCTGTCCCCCAGCCTGGGGCCACAGATCCATAGTCCCCAGCTCAGGAGTGGCCTTGCAGGGCCAGGCCAGTGGTGTGTCCCACTCACCCCAGGCAGCTAAACTTCAAGGACTGTCACTGAGATATCACAAGAGGGGCATAAACACCTCTGGGTGACTCTTAGGGCTCGGGGGCCCCGATTGGCTGGAGCCCTAATGCTATGGGGTCTGTACCAGTCCCCACAGTTCCTGTGCAGAAGAAGGGATGGGGGAGGCCTAGTATAGACAAGGCCTGGGCTAGTAAGGGGCATCTATCTGCCACCTTTGCTCAATGGGATGGGACCCTGGGGATTGGGGGAGGGGGGAGGTAGAATAAACTCAGGGGGCTGGAGGCTGCAGTTAAGTCTGAGTGAGAAGTGGGGTCAGGGCAGAAGCTAAGGAGAGCAGCCAGGGAGGAAAGGTCACCAGCAGAATGACAGATAGCTCCACCCACGAGGGGTGGCAGGGAGTAACCCTGTAGCTAGGGGAGAGGAGGAGGTGTCTGGCCAGCCCAGCAGAAGACTCGCAGGGGCTGGGGTCCTCTGTCCAGCCCAGAGCACACCCTCAGCACTGGCTGGCTGCCCTCCCACTTCCTCCTCAGGTAAGAGATGACACTGGGAGGTATCGCCACATGAGCTGCACACTGTCATTTTAGCTACAGAAAGTCTCCAAGGCCAACACTTTTCCCTGGGAGGGGCCCTAGATCCTGGTGAGGCTTTTCTGGGTTCATGGAGTTTGCCTAAAAGCGACCTGTTCTCAGAGTGCTCCACAGTGACCCAAGGGTGCAAGGTTCGCCTTGGAAAGACTCGAAGACCTAACCACATGAAGTAGGTTTTTTTCCTCAGCAACCTGCCATCCAGACCAGAAGTGGAGGAATGCCCTATGAGCTTGCTCTGAGCAGATGGTTCCCATGGGAACCAAGCTGGTGCTGCGGGGAGGGCAGGATCCACACCTGTGCCTGCCTGTCAAGGAGGAGAGCTGACTTATGGCCCAGAAGGCAAAAGTGGAATTGACATATCAGGAATGACTGAAATAACGGGTTCCCTGTGGTGGTTATTTCTAATGTAAGCAAGTTGGAGCTCCCTTGGGGTAGAAGTAAATTTCCTGGGATGGAGGGCAGGGGGAGCCTCTGATACGGCTGATATTAAGAGTGAAGCAGAATACTGGTGCAAATTTTGAGTGATGAATCTCAATCATTCTCCTAAAATCCTTGTATTAAAAGAAAAAAAAATAATTAATCTGGCCAAACTGCTATTCTGTGGGTGGGACATAGTTCTGTGGGTCCTCCCTCAGGCTCTAGACCAGGGGTTTCTAATTCTTTCTTCTTTCTCCTACACTAGCAATGACCCCAGCACCTTTGCACTGAGGTACAACCCCAGCCTTTTTTTTTTTTTTTTTTTTTTGAGACAAGACCCCATTAACTTGCTAAATTCTTCAGGATGGGTTTGAACTTTCAATCCTCCTGTCTTGGTCTTCCAAAATGCTAAGATTACAGGCCCTCACGCTGTTGGGCCTGAGGCACCTCAGCAGACTGATACAACGTATAGTGCTCAGAAAAAAAAAATCTTTGTTTTGTTTTGGTTGTTTATGTATTTGATGCAGGGTCTCACTATGCAGCTCAGACTTATAGTGATCCTCCTGTTTGCAGCCTCCCCAGTGCTGGGATTACAGGTGTGCACCACAATGCCCGCCCACACTCCATGGCCAGCTCAACATGCCCAGGGGTGGGGCCAGCACTGCATGTGGTACCGGGATGGAACCCAGGTCCCTGCTGCGCTTACTGAAACAGACGCTTAGTCCACTGAGCTAGCTTACTGGCCCAACAGTTGTTTGTTTTTGAGACAAGGTCTCAGTATGCAGTTCAGGCTGGCATTGAACCGACTACACTGCCCAGGCTAGCTTCAAACTCACTGCCATCCTCCTGCCTCAGCCTCCCCAGTACTGGGATTGCAGGTGTGCACCACCATGTCCTGCCAAAAGGAATGTTCAGAATATATGGAGTAAAATGCATAGCTTTGCAAAGGAAACCAGTTATACTGCAGTTAACTCTTTTTTTTTTTTTTTTCTGTATTTTAGGGAAGGGTCTACAGGGTGTTCAAGGTCTCACTACTAAATCAGACTTGTAGTGATTCTTCTTTTTACAGCCTCCCAAATGCTGGGATTATACGTGCACACCACCATGCTCAATCTCAGTCACCTCTCAGCATGGCCCAGGGGCAGGGCTGGCACAGCAGGCCCAGGGATCAAGCCCCTGGCCCCTGCACCTGCTTGCAGGCACTGAGCCCGTCACAGTCTGGGCATAGTGGCATATGCCTGTAATCCCAGTTCTGGGGAGGCTGAAAACAGAAGGATTACTAGGAGTCCAAGTTGTATAGTGAGACCCTATTACAACAAAATACATTAAAAAATAATCAAAATATTTTTAAAATTTGCAATGTGATAATATACATGGTTCTTTTTTAACACCTTAAGTGCCAAGCTGTAGCCATGGTTCTCATAATTGCTGTAATTTCAAAGTATTCTGGGGTTGTAAGTGATCTTGAGAGTTTCTATAATGACCAAGATGTGCTGTGACATACCTGGTTTCTAGTGGTGACCATGTGACAGGTGAAGCTAATGCTGAGAGAGTTTCTACTTAGATGAAAGAAACATGTCTTCCAGTTACAGCTTAATAAGTAAAGAGGTGGGGCTGGGGATATGGCTCAGTGGCATAAGCTCCTGGCTGGCAAGTATAAGGTCCTGAGTTCAATTCCCTGGTACAAAAAAAAAGTAAAGAGGTGGGCTGGAGGTACAGCTCAGAGGTAGGGTTCCACCCAGCCCTGAAAAAATCCACCTGCCCAAAAGACACCCAGGAGAATGCAAAGCTGCCAGGGCCTCCATCCCCATTGCAAATCCCCAGGAAACAACCCAGATGGCACCTGCAGGAGAAAGGGAGGGACCACCAGTATGTTCATATGATGACAGCTTGGCAACAATGACAAGAGTGGGACAACAGCAACATCTAGAGCCTAGGACAATTCTCCCAAACAAGATACTGAGCAAAAAGAAATTTGCAAGACACACACTGTTACTTTGTCTATAGAAAGCAAAAAATTCAGAACAGAATAATGGATCATTTAGGATCTATATTAATACAGTAAAATCAAGACAGAAGCTGATATCAGTGTTTTAGTATAATTAGTGGGCATGGGTAAAAATGCAGTAGAATGGAAACTGGGAAGAATGGACATTGGTTTGAAAGCTGAGTGTGAAGGATGTGGTGGTTCAGTGGGTCCCCCTTCCTCAGGAGTACAGGTTGAACCCAAGACCTTGACACTGAGCTCAGTGTGTGGTCTTTGGGATCTGGCTCTTTCAGTAAGCATAATGTTCTCAAGGTTCACTGAGCTACATACACCCCAGCCCATTCATTTATT